GTTATCATCGTAGGAAAGTTTACATTTCTAATCTGAAATGTATTTCTGATAGATACTTACCACTTCACACTATTTCCACCTGTCCTCCCCACCTCCAGAAGAATGAAGTTATCAGGAAAGCAAATGCATAGGGGAAGTTATGGTTCATGGAGGTTGTGCCACCCTTCTATTGGTAAAGGACTATTGTTGCATGATGACATCATCATACACCAGTTCAGTTCATGTTAAACACGTGTATTTAGAAGATATCGAATTAGCTCAAAGGCTAGTAGCATACAAGTGCATGGGAAATAGCATTTCTGTGTGAGAGGTGAGATTAGGAAAATGTTAACTTTTGTTGAATTACTGCTGTCAAATTTGCTAATCTCTTCTCACATCAGTAATTTGATTTGAACTATATCTTTATCTGGCAAGCTGAATCAACAAAGAGTGCAACTTATTTTATCAATAATTGAACTATAACATAATTAACAAACAGATACAGTGATAATCTGACCAAAATATAAAATACCGTAATTATTTACAAACATTTGAATGAGAAAATATTTAAACAATTTTTTATTTTCCATCCAGTGTACTTTAATAGCTGAATAAATTTATTTTGTCCAAAATATTGGTTAGTTTTTATCTCTTTTTATGAGCTAACGTATCAATGTACCTTCATCTTAACAAAACAAGTTTGTTACAATACTGGTCAGGTTTTATACCTTGTTTGATATGAAAACCTAAAATTTTCATTATATGATATTTATGTAAAACAAACTACAGCTGGAGTCACATGTAATTAAATATAGCTACTAATGATTTCAGCTATAATTGGTGTATTGTTATTTAATTGATGTATTGTTAAATGCAGTAGCAATTATAATTTATGCTTTGAATAATTGGCATTTTGTTACTAAAATACAGTGAATTAATGAAAGCATAATAATGGAACTGTCAATAAATATGGTCTTTAGGCTGTGGCTACCAAGTACCCTAATGTTGATTCAAGAGGAAAAAGAGTTCTTTATCAACCTATGGAATCCTTGTACTTGACACCATGGTACTCTCCCAGTGGCAGCTTTTTGGAGATTCTTCCTATTCACAGGATTTCAGAATGCCAAGATAAACTTAAGCTTGATGTGATTTACACAACAGATACTATTGAACAAGCTCCTGTTATGTTTGTTCAGGTAATTGTGGTATTTGTCATAGGAATATTAAAGACTCTTTTTGTAGTGTATAATTTGATTATTCTTTAGTTATCATGAAAGACAAGCTCATTTTTGCATTTACCAATTAGTTAAATTTGAAGTTTTTTTATGTTTTCTTCAGCACACGTATTTTCATTATAGCTAAATTATGGCAATTGTTTTTTAGGAACATTATGAATAAGTTAATTGCAATGTAATTTTCTTCAAAGTAAAGTTTAAGAAAGTTTTCTCAGCAGAAACTAATCATCAGTAAAAACTTGAGGTCCAGACAATACCAGACCCTATGACACTTACATGAGGCAACATGTAACATAAAAACTTTAAAACTGTTCAAGATTAGATTCAGTAAAGACAATAATTACAATTGTTTAAAGCAAAAATAGAAACGAGAAAGAAATTACAATGTGAAATTTTATAGAACATAAATAAATACATTATACAAAAACTATCAGTAGATCCTGCCATAAAACAACATAACACAAAAATAAAACCTATTAACATTGAACAAACACAAAAGTACAGCATATCTATTGGTGTACAAAATTATTTGCATCGATTAATGCGGACCTGAACCACTCCACATATTCCAGTAGACACTGTGGCAAATCTGCGTTGGGAGGTGGACCATATTTCACATCCACTAGAAGTTGTATGTTACAGTCAATCAACTATTTCTCTGTTGCCTGATATGCTCATTCCAGTCAGTTTGATCTGAATTCATATACTTTGCAATGTTATACTTGATATTTGTATAATCCTTTCAGCCAAGTTATTACATTGAGGATGAAATGATGTCTTTGTCAGATCTAACACACACTTGCACAACTCTGCAGACAATTAACTGTTGAAACTTATTTCATCACCATTGAATTTTTCCATGTGCTCTGAATCATGCTATTTACTGTTCAACTAATGTATCAGCAATGCACAATACTAATGCATGAAACAACATATAAACTTTGGTCTTTTTGGTAAGTATTCAGTAATGATTACCATGTTACAATTACCATTCTCAAGCTCTGGGAGAGATTTTTTGCAGAGGAGAGCCTACAACTCTATCTAAGTTTTCTTTAGTTTGGTCAGAATTTTCTCTGAATGGCACATGCAGTGCAGTATTTAGACCATATCTTAACATCCTCATAAGAGTGCTACCAGAAAAATTACTTTTACATGTTGGCTGTAGTGTGAGAAACATCGTAATGCTTACTCGTTCTTGTTTCCTGCCTCAGAGACCTTGATATTTACAGTGATATGGTTCCTAGGAATTATGCAACACATCATTTTGTACTTCTGAATAAATACTCATATAAGTGTTAGAGGTTACATGTGTCACTCTGTGTTCATAAATTTGAAAAACTGCAATTTACTCTTTCCAAAGTAAGCAAGCAATGCTCAGTGTAGATCTGGGCCCTTCATTTGCTTCTCTCAAAGCTCATAACTTGTCATTTGTGAAGTTTATTTACTAGTAAAGTTTTTACAGTATACAGTTGATTAATATAAGGGCTGATGGAGATGCAACTCAGGGGCCCCTCTGACATTGAAAATATTTTTAAAATATATACAATTCCGTTGATGGGCTCCAGTAAGCTTAATCTGGTTCTGACATTACATGTGATTCATTATCTGTAGCAATAACTTTTACAGGTACATGATGTCCAGGATCTGAACAATCAACAAATGGACAGACTCTCTCTCCTTCTGTTTAGAAGGTCCATTGGCTTTATAGTGTTACTGTTCTAGATTGTGCTGTGCAATAAAATTGAACTCTTGAAACATTATAACCTAATATGTGATCATACCTTGTGGGTTCTTGGAGTTTATTGGTTATTTCAGAAATGTATTCTACTGTAATAATAAACTTTGTATGATATGTTAACTCTTTCCTGTAATTGTAGCACCACCACTATGATCCCACTATCACTGGTAAGGAGGAATTGACTTCTTGCTTGGGATAAATCAATACTATGCATTAAAGAGATGACATTTTTAATGACGAATATTTGGCCCTAGTTTTCAATCCATCTATAATGCAGAGGTTAGCTAATGTGCCAAATTCATAAAATCATTTGTTCCTTTTGGTACCTGGAGATTTCAGAATTTATATGAATGTATAGCTGTCACTTTTGATTAAAATAGTAGTTTGTCATTGTGGTGAATAGTCAACCTTACAAGGGCTCACAGCCATGCTAGGAGTTGTTAATTTCCTCATGATGATATATCTGTGATTGGCATTGTCCTACAGTGACACCTCTTGTTGTCTCAAACTTAGCTATCAGAGGAGAAGCATACACTGGATGGTGATAACCAAGGAGTTCTGTAGAGACCTTCTTACTTGATATCAGTATAAATGGCCTTCACAATGGTACTTGGTGACTCAACAGGGACTTGACTGAGGTGGGGTTTCCTATTCTTATGCTTCATCCATAGCCTCATCTGTTCAGAGATGTTTCATTGTTGGGTTGGGGGACTTTCTTCAATTCCCAAAAGATTTCAGGTTGGTGGTCAGTTGAGGAGGCTACCGTCCAGAGTCATTTCCCTTATCCAGACCACTCCTTGTTGTGTTTTGCTGATTGCTTCATATTGGCTGGCTCAGAAGTGGTTCCCTCTGTTCTGGCCCTTATGGCAGCAACAGCCCCTGCCCTTCCCTCTGTACTGATTGCTCATCTGTCAACTGTGATTGGATGTATTTCATCCAACATCACCAAACTCAATCTTCATGCTTGGCTTTGTCTGGTCCCTTGCCTCAGCTCAGGGACTCACCTCTCATGTAACATCTTTCCTTGCCCATACCATTCGTCTTTTCTCCTTATCTATGTACCAGAGATGTTGGTCTTACTTAAGACTTTGGTCCATTTGCATTGGCTTTCAACTCTCCCATCCTTCTGTTCCTCACCTGTCCCAGTTCTTCATCTGGTTGTTTGATCAGAGTTTGTCTGTTTGAACTGTTTCTTGTTATATGGCTGCCACCTTCCATTCTCCCTCTTCTGAAAAGCCTTGTCCTCCCCAGATATTTCCTTCCTTTTGTCTGGTCCACCCACCTCATCTCTTTGTTCTGCCAGATTGGGATCTCAATATTGTCCTTCGTGCTCTGTCTGGTTCTCTCTTTGCACCCATTGCAATGTGCTCCTTGTACCTTCTTTCCCTTAAGACCTATTTTCTCCTCCTCCTGGCATGTTGTCGTTGTCATTCCTATATTTTTGCCCTTAATGTTTCTCACATTCCTTACCATTCCTCGTATGTTATCCTCTATCCAGATTGGACCTTCTGCTGCCTGGGAAGTTTGTTTAGCCTTTTCTACTCTTTCCTTCTCTTCCATTTCCCACCTGTACTTCCATTCAGATCTGGATCGACTATTTTGTCCAGCTCATTCCCTGCTATGTATGTGGCTGTTACTGCCTCCTTTCATGGCTCTTGCCTCTGTCTATTTGTTCCTTGGAAGTCGTCTGTTTTCCATGACCTATCATCTGTTATGCTCACTTGTTGGATTTGTGAACTCATATGACTGGCATTTTCGGACTTGTCCATGGAATATCGATATCTACATAATGTTTCTTTGCACAGATTCATTATCTAATTATGTGTTTAGCTGCTCAAAACTGCCATTATTTGGAAGAGATCTTTCAGACTGGTATATGGACAACTCCAAATACATTTGTCACACATTACCTGCACGACCTAGCTGTGTCTTCTGTGGGCAGGTATTGTCTTCCTCCTGTGGCAATTTTACAAACATCTGTTTAGATCTTATTCACTTGATATACATCATATTTTATGATCCCACCTGGTGGTGGGTGTTGCCTGGTCAATGCTTAATAATATATTAGCACTAAATCTGTATACTTTTGTAAAGCTTACTATTGATATGGGGTGGTTCTGTAAGACCACCAGCCACTTATCTGGTGATATATATGTATATATATATTTTTTATTATCACTGTTTCATATATAAAGGACCACCATTCATGGTCTTCATTAGTAAAGCAGAATGAGATTTCTGCCCATTCCTACTGACCCATGATTCTTCCAATTGGGGTCTTTCTGGTTTTCAAAATATGGAATTGCAGACACCCATTGCACTGTCCCTGTTGTGTTATTCCCCTAGATTCCCCAATGCATATTGCTCCTCTTCACTTCTAGTGGAGCACGGCAGTCCTTGCCATTTCCAGTACACAGTCATTGGAGTTGTGGACTGAGGAGGTTTCCTTTTGTATGGGTTTTGTATAACAAACAAAGTCTGACTTTATATATCATGTGCAGCAACAGAAGGACTATTGCCATTATAATCATTGGTATACCAAACAATGATTATACAATAACTTAATATTCAGGATTAAGGTGCCTAGGCTTAATCTGATGTATACCAAGGCAGTTCTCCTAGATGTTTTTTGCCTGGATGGACCACATTTAGCTTAATCTAACATATACCAGGGCAGTTCTCCTAGATGTTTTTTGCCCAGGTGGACCACACTTGGACTATTCATATACAATTCATGGTCCTTTAGCTCTAACCAAAGCTAATTCTTCCATTTTTCTTTGGCACCTTACTATGGCTCACTATCACTCTGTTCAGTACTACAGCTTGCAAAATATGTCGACAAAGTATGCCCTATATGGTGACAATTGGTAGGTCCTAATATACCTCATGATCACATTCTTAACTGTAATTTTTTTTCATAATCCTATGAATTTAAGACACTTCTCCTGGAACTTTTTTTTGACTGGGAGTATATAGCACTTCTTGATCACATTATCTTAGACAAGGTGTTTCTACTGGATGTTTTGCCCAGTTGAATTGCACTTAATATTTTCCATTGTGCCACAAGGCAAAACTTTATGTGTTTGTCCATGCCTTGCTGTTTCGAGTCATATTTATGCAGCACTTTTCCACTGATTTGGTGCTGTATGTCTCTTTCCTGAGTGCATTGGTGCCTGCCTATTCCATTCCGCTCTCTTTGTATTACTGTGTTCATTACTTGGTGAAGAGCATATCTGTTCCAGAAGTAGTGCTATACCCAGCAGGTGTGCTTTCTTTTCATATTATTGCACACCTGTTCTTTCAGTGTGGTCACTTTTTGCTTGCTTGAATATTGAACCACCTTCACCAGCCCCTCCACCTTTGCAATGTGGAGGTAGTACTGTTTTGGAAGTTAACATTTTTATCCTCCACATATGGACTGATTTTTACTTTTAAGTGCATGAATAAAGATATGTAATTCAGTTTACAATATCTACATATATATGGTGAGGAGTAAGAAAATGTACTAAATAATACATGCATGATTTTTAGCTTTCAATTTGAATGTTAACCTTTTCTTAAATCAAATGAGGATGGAGGGAACATTAACATAGGTGGAGAGTGTCACAAGACAAATATTGCCAAGGGCAATTAAGTCGGGTATAAAAGACTGGAGCAAGTGAGAAAAATCAGACCAATGCTTAGATGGGCAAAGGAAGAAACTATGGCAGTCGAGTAATAGCTGTAGTGTGAGGGAGGTAAATATGTTTTGTAATTAAGAATTAAGTAAAATCATTTTGAAACTAAAGATTTCTTGAACATGTAAAGGAAAAACAATTGTTATTTGCTGTTACTTGGATAGGAGGTTTAATACACATGCTGGCACTTGCTTTATATATCCATAGTATTTGGAACAAATAATATAAACTAAAGTCTTAATCTTAGAATTATCAGTGGTGTCTGTATGGACCCTATAAGACTTTTAAAGACTTTTTCTGAACTGTTTATGCACCAAATTGCTTATGGGTCAGTGACTCCATAAGTTATCTTTAATATCGTACAAGTCCCATGAAAAAAAAAGTAAACAAAAATCAACAATATTACAATTAATTCCAGTAACTATTTGTGGAGTTTGCTGTGTATTTTACTTAGAATATAGTGTTTTGACCCCAGTTGTTTGGTCACTTCTTTACACTGGCTATTGTGACAGGCAAAAATTGCTCTGTGTGATGCATTATGTGAACCCCACTGATAATGAAGGTATATAAACATATCCATAATTTGTGTTTAATTTAATTTATAATACTTTAGTTTCACATTTAAACCACTTTTTAATGGTATTGATCCTTACATGATTAAAATGAAGTAATAGTAATAAAGTTTAAGACAGTGATTTTATAAGTTTTACAGCCATTTATGTTATTACATTTATTAAAACTATTGAGCAAATGTTTGAGGTTTTAAACATATCATCAGTTATATCTTTTTTAGTGTTATTAGTCACAATAAAATGATTTTCTTTTATTACTTTTACAGAAAACTAAAACAGTAAATACATGTTGTTTGAAGTTTTTATTCTTCTTGTTCTTCCATCTTAAATTTTTTGGATGACATAAAATGAATTAAATTAGGTGCATTTCCCACATTCAGAGACTATGAAATGTAGCTTCTTAAATTAAATAAATATAGAAACTATTTTATTACAGTTTTATTGACAGTTGTCTGTTTTTGGGAAAAAAAACATTTACAATCACCAAAGCTAATGGTCTTTACCTCTGTTATTTGGTTTCTACGTTTCTAGCTGATTGCTGAATATTTTTTACTTACTTACATTTCATTGTGAATTTTATGATGAATGCCAAAAATGAATACTTTTATTTAAGATTCTATATATAATATATATATATAGTTTTATTTGTAGCTCATTTGAAATTTGTATTGTACACACACACACATATTTTATATGTCATAGCAAGTGTTTGAAAAATATCATATTATTGCTTTATTTAGCTTGGATCTTTTTTCATATAACAGATGATAAGAAGAGGAATTCCAATGAAACCTGTTAAAGTAGATCAACTTCACATCCAACAGTTGAATCAGAATAGTAAAATGCTAAAAAACATTATTATGGATGAACAAATAACGCTAAGTGACAGCTTAGCCAAAAATATTTCCACCAAAATTCCAACCTTGCCATATATTGCACATACTTCAATAGAACTTGAGATAAATGGACAGCTCACTCCTATAAGCAGGATAGTTGTATTCTTTGTTAGAAATGATCGTGAGGTGGTTGCTGACTCTACATATTTCTTTACTGAATGTCTTACAAACAAGGTACTTACCCTGTTGTAGGTAACTCATCTTATTTTTGTTGTGTTAAAACTTAAATGATTTAATTAAAAAATTTGTTTTTCATATTTAAAAATGTTATTTCTGTTAGCATTTGCTATGTTTATATGTATTACTAAATGTCTACTAATGATTGTAATGTTTTGTAGGTACTGTGAAAACATTTATAATTGTTTATCTAGTATATAATAATTTTTTGGCAATGGAATAACATTTTTAAATTAGTTTGCTTTTGCAAAATAATATTCATGTAAGAGTTAATTTAGCCTCATAATATGATTTCAGGTTAAACTCTCCATTCAGAAAAATAAACATATAGGTGCAAAGTTTAGTTTTGATTTAGAAGCTGATCAGAATTCCCTGTGTAATGTCCATGTTTTGGATAAGGCATCCAAAAAGGATTCATCAACATTAACTAAAGAAAAGGTATGAAACATTCTACCACTGTATTAACAATTTTACTTTTTATAATATGTGTTAGATGTTTTTATGAAAATCTATATTAGGAAAGTTTACAATTAATGTGGAAATAATAAAATATTACTATATGTACATCATATCATGTAGGAAATCATATTTTTTTAATGGGTATACTTATGAAAATAGGGTAAGAATCATAAGGAATTTTATAATTATTAACTTTGTATTATCATTAAGCTTGTTAGCTTGTGGTATATAGAATTATAAAAATTACTTTGTATTTTTTTAACATACTTTATCAATCATTAGCTGTTTGATGTTCTTCGATATCAAGACATTGGACGTTACAATTATCCCTTCCAAAATGGACATTGTAAGACAACAACTGGTGATTCAGGTAATTGGTAACATGAAAGAATTTATTGATTTTACTGAAAACTAAAATTTTTTGCATATTATTTTTCAAAATTTGTATTATTTTGATGTCAGATATAGTGTCTTCTTAATCATTTAATTGGAGACTTGATTTTTATTGTTCTAATTTTAGCTTTTAAAACATTATTTTTAGTGTTTAAAGATTTTGTATTTATGTGACAAGGCATATTTCAAAAATTTAAGAACAAAGCTTGAGATAGTAAAACACAAAAAACTGCATTTTAGGTCAAATAAAGTGAGATTGTTGAGGCAACAGATGAGGTTGTAGTTTAAATAATGTACATATCAGTTAACTTGGCTTGTATTTATGCTTAGTTTTGCTGTGTGTACTCTAGAACAGTTATTTATTATTAATCCTACATTTATAACATTTTTTATTCAAATAAAAGCTATTACACTGGCTGTAAATTAATTGTTTGCATTAAATTTATCTTTCTTGTCTGTTATAATGCACAAAGATATAGAAATTTAAAAATTATATGTGAGAAGAACATTTATTTGATGGATACTGTTTTCTCTCAGATAGCTAATAAATTAAGCTGATTCCTTGATTGAATAAACATTCACTAAGAGTAACAAACCAGGAAATTATTAATGTTAATGCTAAATATGTCATAATGACTATATGTTAGATATCAGTCATTTTTGATGCAAGCAAACTGTCTGTATAGTTGTAAACAGTTATCTGTGGATATTTGTGATGAGTAGTTATTATTGAGATGTGAAAGTACTAGTCTCAAACGCTGTAGCAAATGACATATATTTGTTTTTTTATATTTTGTTTTTCCGTCTCATCTATCAGTCTGGCTCAGTTGACTCCCATCTGGCTTAACACTATGGAATAAGATGCCAGACTCTTACTCACTTTCATACCCAAGACACTGTCAGACAGGAAAGGGGTTAATTCTCCCACTACATGGATGGTTCTTTCTCTTCTGGGAATGTGGACATCACTTGACTCTCTCATGTCTTTGGAATGAGAGCACAAGAGATCCTTTTAATGATCTTTATGTAATTAAGTGATCATAAACATCAATTTACTGGTTTCCCCAGTTTCCTTAGTAAGAATCATTCTTCGATCTTGAGAGGCTGTTAAGTTGGGACACTACTATGATACGGGTTCCTCTACCACCACCTTGTTCAGAGTTCAATCTCTTTATGAATGCCTTGTTTCAAGGATGGGGTACAGGAATTCCAGGATCTATGCACAGACAAAGAGGCTTCCCTACACAATGTTTTAGGCCTTCTTGCTCTTCAAAAGGCAATGAATGCTGTGTGGTCTCGGCTTATTAAGGGGAAAATTGCCAGGCTTCACTTTGACAATTCCGTGGTGGTATTTTGTGTTTCTCATCAAGAAGGCACTTGGTCCAGGGCTCCTTGTTTTTGAAATTCGTTCTTCCTTTCTCGGTAAATTTCCTATCTTATCACCCTACTAGCGGGCTATGTTCCATGGGTGATGCCTGTGGCAGCAGGTCACTTGTCTCAATCCTAGCTGATTCTCCCAACAGAATAGATGCTGCATTGCAAGGTTCTGTTGGATTAGCTCTAATTTTGCAACTCTGATAGGTGGGTTGGCTTCTCATTAAATCACCAAATTACTGGCAACTTTGGTCTCCAGTACCTCATCTTCAGACTTTAGCAATGGCTGCAGTCTGTGAGGACAAGACTGGATTAAAACTTTAGGCCTTCTCTCCACTTCTTATAGTACGCAGATTACTAAATATGATTTGTTCCAACCCATTGTTAGGTCCTGTTGATAGCACCAGATTGGCTGCTGAACCCTGCTTTTTGCTTCTGCAGTACCTTCTGGTGTGTCCACCTCTTCCACTTCTTCTTCAGCGATCTCTGTGTAAGCAGCCATGATTTCCAGTGGTACACCCTGCTATGTAGAAGCTCAAGCTTCAGGCATAGAAATTATGCTGTCTTTTGTATGGCATGGGAGTTTAATGTCTAAGGTTGCCACATATCTGTTTAATGTTTTGCTTAGTCTGAGATGAACATTTATCAACCAAAATGACACACATATCAGCAATGGTGTATTGAGAGGAGGTTCAACTCATTTCAGGCAGAAGTGCCAACCATAATTCATTGTTTGATGTGGCTCTTTGACAGAAGTTTTTGCATCCTTCCCAGTCGCTCTGTTTAAGGTGGCCATACCATTCGATTATTGTGACTATGTAATTTTTGAGTCCCCAGTACTTTTGGGTCCCTGGTACCAAATGACCATTCCAGTTATCTGACAGGTATATTAAGATTACATTACATGCTCTTTCTCAACATGTTTGTGACCTGACTCTTATATGCAATATATCCCCTTTACCTGAATATTTATTCTTCATGGCTGCTGACCTACAGGCATCACCAGTTGGAGTGATTTGCACTGTTTATTCACAGACCATTTTATCATTCTCTTTAGATCCTCAAACCAGTTCTTTTTACCCAAGACACTCTCAGATAGGAAAGGGGGTTAAAGTTCTTTTCACTGATCCATTTGATCACTATTTCTCACTTCTGTGGTTTTTAAGGTTTTGTTGCCTTCTCTAATGCCTTTAGAGATGCTAGACAACGAATTTTTATTCTTGGCTCTCTTTGAAGGTGAGGAATCTTTTATGAGTCATATTTAATCAGATAGTCACATTTCTATGCCCTTAGTGGCCCAGTCAAATTGCCCACTGGAGGTCATTGTGGAGACTGGTATGTGGACCTCCCTTAATAATTTTATCTCACATAATTTGCATGATCTGGCAGTCTCTTTATCTGAGGGTTATGCCTACACCCTCTAGCTATCTTAACCATTTCTGCTAGATTATACAGAAGGTTGAGTATTTTCATTGCTAGGGTCCCTTAACTTCGTTTTACAGGATCCCACTCTGTAGCAAGTGTTGCCCAGGCAGGTATGCTTTTATCAAACCAATTCTGCATTAGCAGCCACTAATTCAATATATTTTATACAGGTTTCAACAGGCTCTGTGGAAATGAGGTATTCCATTAGACTATCAAGGAGCTGACCAGGTGCTATTACTGTACTATGCTGGACTGCCACTCAGGAACTACCATGAGTAAAGTATAAGGGGATTCTGTCTATCTCTGCCATTCATAGGATTGAATGAATCAGAATTGGTTTACTTTTAAGAATTTTGGGAAGTTGGTTCACCTATTGCACTGTTCCTCAGGCCTCCCCAAAGCACAATACCCCCACCCCCAGATTCTAGTAGTGGTGCTAGGAGTCCTTACCACACCCAGTTTCCAGTCACTGGGATGGTGGACAGAGGCTTTTCCTCCATCGTGTTAGAGTGAATTCCTCTACTCTTGCAGAAGAGGGCAAAGTTGGGGGCTCCCCTACCTGGGTCCATGGATGTTTTTCCCAGATGTCGGTAGAAGTGGCACTAATGTACACAGGAGCCTAATCATAGTACCAGCTCAGATTTGATGCTTTGCTATCAGGTTGGGGTGTGCATGGCCTTTCTGTAAATTCAGTACATTGTTCATGGAAGAAGGCCCACTATATCCTGGGTCCTTGGTTGTGCACAATTGTTCCACATCCTCCCATTAATTCTAGATGCAAGTGGAATTTACCTTGCTCATATGGTTGGGGAGTGAGGATGAATGCTCATAATTCCAGACCTGATGAGTTCTATTTCCTTTTATTGAGTAAGGCATACACGATCCCATCATTTCGAGCCTGAGGTGTTGCCTTTCAGGCTTCTTCAGGTGGAGGAGAAGGTTTGTCCACTTCACTGTTGCTTAATTTCTTGTTATGATTCTGGTGGCTTGGAATGCATCACTCTATGACTAGAGGTTAAAATCCACTCATAAGTATAAACATTGCAGTCCAATTGCCCTAGCCACCAACATGGGATATAGGGACCAAGACTCTTTAATTACAACTCCGAGTAGTGGAACCTCGGCTCTCTGGTTTGGGCTGGCCTATAATGATGATCACTCATGTACAATTCCATCCACAATACATGAATCACGTTCAAGAGCATACCTGTTCTGGATGTATTGCAGTTCCCCTACTAGTGTGTCAATCTTCTATTGACACACCCATGATCTATGCAGACATTTTCTGTATGGATAATGCTCTCCCCGGCCCTTTCACATTCTCAATGTGGGATTCTAGCTATAAATGGGAGTGGAGGTATGTATGTTCTGGAAGTTAACATTTTCCTATATTGAAAATGTAAAATGTATTTCCAATAATACTTACCACTTCTCACACTCTCCCACCCTTCCCCCCTAGTGTTAAAGACTGGGAAAGAGTCAGTTTCAAAAAAGTCCCTTCCCCTCTGGTGTTAAAGACTGGGAAAGAGTCAGTTTCAAAAAAGTGATAACATTATCTCAATGAGGTGCTTATATACATTACCAGGATAGAGGGCATATTGACGTAGATGGAGAGTTGTATGAGACCAATATTGTCAAGGGCAATTAAGTATAAAAGTATTTAAGGCAGTTAAGAATAGGGTATAAAAGACTGGAGAAAGCAAGAAAAAATCAGATCAATGCTTAGATGGGCAAAGGAAGAAACCCTGGCAGTTAGGTAATAGCTATAAATTGGAGAGGAGGTAAGTATTATAGGAAATACATTTTCAATTTAGGAAAATGTTAAGTCATTTTGCAGAAGCATTGTAGTGTTAACTGGTACTTGTGACTGTATCTGAGACCAAAAAATAATGGTGTATTGTACTTTTGGTGAATGGAAGGAAATATATGACATGCTGAAAAGGTTTCAGAATTAAACAAAACTCTTAACTTTACAGCTCCAACAAGTGGGGATATGTTGACAAGATCTCATCGATCCTCTTTGTATGCTGATTCCCTTGTGGCCTTTGATGTATGTAACTTTTACTTTTCTGTACATACTAATTAAATGTAAATTATTTTCATAAAATGTGCCTCTTGCATAAATAATGAACTTTTTCAGTTTTAGGAAATATGTTTACAATTAACAATTATTCAATTTTGTATATTATGAATTCCATTTGAAAGCATAAAATTATGTACTCAAAATATAATAATTTTTACTTACAGAAGCTCATATGGTAGTATAACATATTTAATTGTGAAGGGCATAAAATATACTAAATTTAAAAGCTAATTTTGTGTGATAAAATTTTGATTTATTTTTTTGTATATGCTTGATAATGATTTATGAAAGCTTAACCCTTCATGATCGTTTTAATAAGAATTTTACATATTTATAAATAGGTCACTCCAGTGGGACAATGGTAAGTTTATGTACTTCTGAGGTTTAATTCCCCACTCTATACACAGCAGATAGCCAAAAGTGGTTTTGCTCTAAAACAAACATCATTTTATAAATAATATGAGGGGTTTTTTGTGTTAAGGAGTTCAAACATATTTAGCTCTTCTTCAAAGATTCAAATATTTTATATAAAACTGCTTTTGAAAACTTTTTCTTTCCATATACATAAGCAAAAACCCCAGAATATTGTAAGTCAGTTGCAGTGCCAGAATAACCATTAAGCAAAACAAGCACGTGCTTGGGGCCCAGACCATCAAGGGGGCCGATCACACACTAACATAACTTTATATTACTTTGTTGACATTTGTCTTTAGTCATTGTTAATAGGTTAGAATCATGAACAGTCTATTTACGATTATAAATTTACTGCATGATAATATACATTTTATTTATTTTCATTTCTGCATTTAAGGCAACACAGTAAGTCACACTTTATATTTCCCACAGGTGATGGTCACTCATAGACAAGATCTCTCTTGACTGCATGGTAATGTCACATGATTACCACTCTGTAAAAAACATTAGATTTTATTATGTTTTTCTTTCTTAGAGAGGGAAATTTTTTCTTTTGAATGCAGGTCAAATTGCACTGGCCTTTTTCTCTAAAACCCACTTTTTTATCGTTTATTTTAACTTTTGAGTGGCTTTCTCTGTTTAATATTGTAGTACCTTGCCAATACTTCTTTTTATTGCAATAAACCTCCAGTGGCTCAGCGGTATGTCTGAGGACTTACAATGCTTAAAAACAGGGTTTGATACCTGTGTAGAACAGAGCACAGATAGCTCATTATGTAGCTTCAAACTAACTATATTTTTTAACGAAAGAAAAAGTAATTGCAGATTGGAAAAAAACTTACAAAAACAACTTGACGATAAAGAAAGTTATTGGAAGAAAGTATTACAAAGAGTGGTTGAAGTTGGTAAGTTTTTGGTGAAAAATAACCTGCCCTTTCATGGAGGAAACAAAAATATTGAAAACAAAGACTGTGGCCTGTTTTTAGCTACTATAAAACTTATTGGAAAAATTGGCTCATTTATGGAGCAACACATCAAAATAAAGACACTTCATGGTGGGAGAGGAAATGTTTCATATTTATCCTAAACAGTATATAAAGAGTTAATAAATATATTGGCAAAAAAAAGTAACAGGGAAAATATCGAATGCAATAGAAAAAAAAAAAAAATTATATATATATATATATATATATATTACTCTATCATTGTTGATTCAACTTCAGACTGTTCATATATGGACCATCTTTGTTTTGTAATCAAACATTATATTGAAGATGTTGAACTGTCAGTGTCATTTTTAGGATTTGTTGACTTAGAAGAAAGACCACTGGAAAATATTTGGTAGAAACTATTTTTGAAGAACTTAGAAAGAACAGTAGAGAAATATCAGACTGCATTGGCCAAACTTATAGTAACAGCCAATTTATCTGGCTTATATAATGGAGCAGAAAAGTTTATTAGACATGAGTCTATGCAGGCCTTATATATACCATGTGCCATGCACAGTCTAAATTTAGCAATCCAAAATGCTATGGAAACTTCTGAAGGTTGTTCAAGTTTTTCAGTCTCTTTCAAAGGCTGCATAACTTTTTTAGTGGTTCTATTCAAAATTGGCAAAACTTAAATGCACTTCAGGAGGAGAGCTATTAAAATCTATCAACTACACGATTCTCTACTCGTTTTGAAGCTGTTGATGCCTTACAAAATTATTATCAGAATGTGGTAAAATGCTTAGATGACCTTTTATTTGGATGAATTCTTGAATAAAGAAGCAAGAACAGTCTCAAAACTTAAAGAAAGAACTATTATACCTAGACACAACTGTTCTTTGTCTTATTTTAAAGGATATTCTGACAAGGATTAATGTTGTTAGTATTTAAATTCAAGAAACAAAAACAAATTTGAAACAATGTTACATTTCATTGGAATGCTTAATTGATTATACATCAAGTAAATGTACCGAAGAGGTGTGTATGATTACGTTAAAATAGGGAAAAAAAACTGTTGGAAGAATCAAATGGACCAGATTTTGAACCCTCATTTAAGGGAAAAGGGAAGAGGAAAAGTGCAAGAAAGAAATTCTTTGAAGAAGTAGACTCCCAGCCCCAGAAAAGTGATTTAGATTTTACAGAAAACTTGTGTGCTAATTTTAGAGTTAGTATGATTTTAAAAATGTTAGATTCTATAATTAGTTTTCTAAGACAACGTAGAAAAAAATATAAAAAACTTAATGATGTGTTTCATTCTTATGGGATATACAGTAAAGTTTGTTGAAATATATGGAAAAAATATTGATAGAAACGACTTAGAAGAATAATTGCTGCAGTAACGTTACCCATGAGCTGCTCTCGTTCGTTACTCATGAAACATTTTTATTATATTATTATTTATCTTACCTAATCTAATCTTAACTAACCTGAAAAGATCCCTGTTTTTACATTTTAATTAATTTTATAATAATAAATCAAGAATAAACATGAAAATCAAGAAATAAAGTACTTATCCAATCTTCTTTTTTCTTGCTGTTTATTATACTTCAGCTGACATATTTTATACTCATTGTAATTGTGAACTAAATAATTGTAATTTAATAGACTAATAACATGCAAAAAGTAGACAATTTCCCCTAACTCTCAAAATTTTTCGGGCTTTCTAACTATGCGACAAGAGCTGTTACAAATTTATCCAAGCTAGTAGTTAAGTTTCTCACTCGTACATTGCTTGTACTTAGAATGAAATTAACTATTAGCTGTTCAGAACACAAAGTTATATGATACGTTATTTGATAGATGAAAACCTTAACTTTCTATAGTTATAGGTAATGTATAGTTACACATAAGAGAGAACTATTAACAAATCCTGAAAGAGAGGATGGGACAGGTGGGTGTGGTATGAGGGATCTGATTTTCTATTCAATAGCTCTGTAACCAAACAAAATTGAAGGCTATAAAAATGATGTTTCATTTAAGCAATGACGATTATATATATAAAGAGTAATTTACATTTAATTTTGTGCTTTTTTCAAGGGGTGGTGAATAAAATAGAGAAGACAAGATGCCTAGAGAAAATATGTCATGAGTGTCACACTAGGGGAAATTCAGGAAGTTTTTAATATTGCTTTGTAGAATTAGGAACTTAACTTATATACTATTAAAATGTTGATTATTAGCTCAGGTTTTATGCTGTACTAAT